CTGCACCTTGTTGTCTCGGATTCTCCAGCATCTGCAGTTCCTACTATCTCTGATTCAATTATAACCATAGTAACTGCTTTTCTATGCTGCCAATTTGATGAACAATTGTTTCATGTTCCACTCACTTTTTTGATCACGTGGGCAAACATAACTGAGGGGAACCTTGCTCTTTTTTTTTTAATCACAGCTTAAGACTTATGAGGAAGACTTTATCAAGGAAAGGAAAGAAAAAGACTTACTGGGGAAGAAGCTGAAAAAGCAGGTAGGGGACCATACGATTAAAATGGTAACATGTGAGGCCTTTGAAAATAGCACCTAATAAAACAAGTATATATTAAGAATTGGTTAAATGGATCTTGATTTAACATAAAACTTTGTGCTATTAATCATTCTTTTCTTAGAAGGAAACTACTGAGGGTTATTAACCACATCCTCAACACAACTAAACTAGCTGCAAGACAAATGAACCTTTATATCTAGTTGGCAGGCTGTGCCAAGTGAAACATTTACTCACTAGATCACGATGGGACATCTGTGCTATCTAATAGCACCGTGATATAATGTGTTCATAAAATGACCATGTCAGCTACCTTTGCTATCTATTAATCCAGCCATATGATAATATGATGGAAAATCAGTGTTGGTTAAAAAACCTATAAAGGTATTTTTAAAAATGTACTCAGCCCACTATGGATTTGAATTTCTCTGTTCCAATCATTCATTATTCTTTGGGGAGTAAAATGTTCTGAAGCTGAGTCATATGGCCTGATAAGGTTCTGTCTTTTTGTTTCTGGTCTTTGCTGAATGCAGAGTCAGGAGCAACTTCTGGTGGTTACTGTTAGAACCAATAAGCTGACTATGAGTGAGAGACGAAATCATTGTGTATTCCAACGCCAAATAAAGTGAGGCCCATGTTGAATGAGTGAGAGTAATTTAGGTACTTGGCCATGATGTTATTGCATGATCAAATCATTTACCCACTCGGTTTAACCGATAACTAACATTTTCAGTGAGGTTTACAAGGCATTACAGATATCTCTAGAACAAGTCTCCCAGCATGAGTCACTGCCCTTACGAAACTGTAAGAATATTTGATTGCAGTTGTTTCTCAGGGTACGTACTTATCTACATTTTTCATTTGCAAAGCTATTTCTGTATATCCGAGGTAATCTTAATAGATAGCAAAGATTACTGTACCATTAACTTTTGTAATTCATTTGTGACCTTTGACAACTTCTGCAGATAAAATAACTAGGATGGCTCAACTGGCGCTGAGACCCTGATGCTATTATAGTCAACAATACCTAAATGTCCTCTGTCACTGCTGCCCATTAGGAGGCATTCACAGACAGCATGGGAAATTGCTTAATCATCAGCAAGCCATTTTAAACAAGTGAGCCTTGGACTAAGTGGCAGTCATGATTAAAACCTCACGCTGCCCTCATGCGCTTGTCCAGTCTTTATCTGCTCTTGCCATAATTTGATAGTCAGTGTCTTTGGAGGAGGGTGGTAGGTTGGAACTTCAAACAATGGCAGTTAATTTTTCAATCAATTGACCCAGAATAGGAATATGTCTTCTAGACATTCAGCTGCATATTCGAATGTGAAAAATTTGTGTTGTGCTAAATTTGTGTTGTGCTAAATGCTGTTTGAATTTGAACAGCTAGAATACACTTCCTTTTGACTTGTTGATTTATTTGGGCATTTATTAATTCCCAAATTCAAAGTCCCAGCTATTACTGAAGCTTGGGGGGTAGATTTTGACTTTATGTAAAACAGGGTCATGGACAATTGACAGCATGCTTGACATCATTCCAAATTTTTATTTCCACTGGCTTCATGAGTGCAATTCTGTGCTCTTAGAGTTGGCAGGAAGGACATCTAATTAGGGGCTGTGGTGACATACCTGATGCCTCTCTCTTTCTGCTTTCCATCGGAATTAAGTTTGGGACAGAATACCCAACCGCGAATCATCCCTCTGTCCTTCCCTGCAATGCCCCACAGGACTCCACACCGCTCTGCCCATTACCCCCAAGCCTGGACAGTGCTCACCTGTCAGATCAGTCATTAATTTAAATGCAGTTTAACGAGGTGTGCTAAATCTGGTAAATTAAACCAAAGAACCAACCTGGATTATATGTTAGTTGACTGGAGAGAAAGTTTAAAAAAGACATGGGGGCAATTTGTGGTTCACATGTGGAATGGACTTCCTGAGGAAGTGGTGGATGTGAGCACCGCTACTGCAAAATGCAGCTGAATGCTGAGAAGACATATTCCTGTTCTGTGTTAATTCATTGAAAAATTAAATACCATTATTTGAAGTTCCAATCTACCCAGCTCTTTGCTGTTATAAACACTGTCTTGCAAAGGGTCTTACTTAGATAACTACATGAACAGGAAAGGTTTGGAGGGATATGGGCCAGCAGCAGGTAGGTGGAACTAGTTTAGGTTGGGATTATGTTTAGCATGGACTGGTTGGACCAAAGAGTCTGTTTCCGTCCTGTATGACCCTATGTTGGAAGTGACGTTTTTATCAGTGGACATGATATATGGTTAGTGCCTATGATGAGTCTGGACTGCATAAATTAGGAGGGTTGTTATATAAGCACATGGAGCACAATTATCTCCTCCCCAGAAGTGGTAAGAAAAGTACCAAAAAGAGCAAATAATTGGGTGAGGTGGTCCTGGAGGGATACTTGTCTCATTTCCACTTCTGCCATTAAGTTGTAGTCCAGTTGGGAGTTTTCTTACTGCCAATAAGGCTCTTATGTGGTCAATCAAGGACCATAATTCACCGCCAGCCCAAATCAGAAGTGATCTCGTTAAGGCTTTTCAAATGTGCAAAAGAAAAGATGGGACAGATGCAGGTATGATGTTTCTCCTGGTTGAGTCATTGGGAACCAGGGGACGCAGCTCCCCAGTAAGGCGGTCATGACTTGGGATTGCAGTGAGCGGAATCTTGTCTCGTTCAGGATTGTGAATTGTTGAAGTTCAGTATCTCAGGATTGTGGAAAATCACTCATTGCATATGTTTTAAAGTAGTGGTTGAAAGATTTCTAAATGCCAGTCATAAAGGGATATGATGATAGTGAGAGGGAAAGGCATTGAAGTGGATGATCCATCTCTCTGGTAGCTAAGCTGATATAATCTGTCCTTGGAAAAGAGATGATCCCAAGGGAAGAGATGACAAATCTATTAAGTGTTGTCAAGAGAAACACCGATACTGTTTTTATTTCCACACCATGCCCCCACTAAAAAAAAATTGAAAAAAAAACTGCATCCTTTTTGTTTTTGGAGTGGCATGTGAAGCCCCTGTGAAGGACTACCATAGCTTTAGTTTTGGCCTTGACTGCCTGACTGAAGGAACGACCAACCTGAATCCAGGAATAAGGCATAGAGTCTACAATCTGATCCTGAGTGTGGTAAAACCCCACTCTCCCCACAAACAGAAATTAACATTTACACCATACATCAGAATCACAAGGAATAGGAACAGGAGAAGCCTATTTGGCCCATCAAGCCTTCCCCACTTTTAATAAGATCATGCCTGATTTGAGTTCAGCATCAACCCAACTCTGATATTTTTCACCATGTTATTTGAATTTCTTTCCTAATTTAGTATCTCAATTTCTTATTCAGAGAAAATAGGAATGGCGGAATATTTTATTTTTGTATTTAAAAGAAACAAAAGTGGAAAAGAAGCAAAATGGAATCTTTTAGCACAGAATGAACTCATTTGGCCTCATGAATATGCCAGTTCTTTGAAAGGGCTGTTCAATTTAATCCCACAAACAGGTCTTTCATCCATAGTTCTGCCAATGATATAGGATTGCATAGGACGTAAAACCTCAGAATCCCTTGTATCATCCTAGAAAACCCCCTTTTTACCATCTCCAGGGTGTTGGCATTTTCTGTGATACTTGGACTCCAGCATAAACCTAGTTAATAACTTGTAGAGGTTTACTGTTTAAGGGGATCATTCGGTTATGGGAGAAGGCAGGAGAATGGGGTTCAGAGACATATCAGCCACACTTCAAATAGTGGACCAGACTCAATGGACTAAGCGGCCTAATTCTCCTACTATATCTTGTGCTGTAATGTGACTTGGTTGGCATTAATATTCAATGCTGCTACTTACAAATCCCAAGTGTGAAGCACACTGCTGTCTTAATTTGCAGCATCAGGATTTGTGAGTATTGTTTTTGAATCTTTGAAATACACTGCTGCAGGGACAATTAAAGGTTTGAAATGCTTGTGAGGGATGCAAATGTAGCCTGAATTAACTTGGAAGCAGGCAATTCAATGGCATTACTGATTGGCTGGACTGATGGAAAATTTCATATTGTTCAGAAGTGCTAGGATGGTATTAGAAGATAAAAGGAGTCAAGGCACATGTCAAGTCAATGGCATAAAATTTGCATGAACCTATTTGACAGTTTCAAAGTAAAATATTTGACTTTTTTGTACATTCTTCTTAGGCTACAGGCTTTTCACAGTCATCTACTACCCCTTACCCACCTCTGGCATATGCACCCTGTGCACCTTACATTAATTATGGACATCCCTATGGAATCCCTGTCCACTATCCAGGTCCTGCATTGATGATGCCTCAGACAGAGAGTACAGGTTATCGGCAGCAACCCATGGTGAGTAATGCTTTGGTTTTTTGCCAAACCGTAAAATGCTTAATATACACCAAAAGAAATTGAAATTTTGATCTCATCCCTAAAGGGAGAGTAAGGTGGAAGGGAGCCATACTATTTTTCATGTTAAGTACTTTACGGATTTCTGTGTTCATATTCAGTTTATGTATTTAAAAGAATAGTTTGTTGCTCCCGTGTGAGTGGGGACTGTCTGTGCTAGCCCTCACAGTTCTTTTTTTCTCCAAATGTATAAATGAGGATGCAATACTGTAATTGGAAATTAGTTATCATGTGACTGGATTTCACTTCGTTTTCTGAGAGTGCAAGGTCTCTTGTTTTTTTTATTCTAGACAACTCCATATTTAGTGCTCCCACTGTAAAACATAATTTACTTTTGGAATACTGCATTCAGTTCTGGCCTCCCTGCTATAGGAAGGATGTTTTTAAACTTAAAAGGGTTCAGAAAAGATTTACAATGATGCTGCCAGGGTTGGAGGGTTTGAGCTACAGGAAGAGGCTGAATAGGCTGGGGCTATTTTCCCTGGAGGATCAGAGGCTGAGGAGTGACTTTGTAGAGGCTTATAAAGTGATGATTGGCGTGGATTGGGTGAATAGCCAAGGCCTTTTCCCCAGGAAAGGGGAGTCCAAAACTAGAGAGCATTGGTTTAAGGTAAGAGGGGAAAGATTTAAAAGTGACCGAAGGGGCAATCTTTTCACACACACGGGTGGTGTGTATATGGAATGAGCTGCCAGAGGAGGTGGTGGAGGCTGGTACAATTACAACATTTAAAAGGCATCTGGAAGGGTTTGGTGGGGGGGTGGAGGCGCAGATATGGGCCAAATGCTGGCAAGTGGGACAAGATGAATTTAGGATATCTGCTCAGCATGGACGCGTTGAACTGTCTATATCAGGCACGTACCCTTTTAATGTCAGAGTTTGATGTTGATTTTTATTTTTCCAGAATTAGCAGGTGATATAATTTTTTTTTTCTTTCACTCGAACGAACCTTGGTAATTTTTCTCCATTTTTCTAACAAACCACGTTTTAATTGCAGTGTGATAGCTAAGTGCCAATTTTAAAAAAAAATTAAAATATTTTGTTGCCATCAGCCAAGAGGAGACTTTCCTTACCTGATTGTAACAAGGTTGAAACCGGATAGCCCAGCAATTGCCTTTTTAATTGTAACCTATTCTGGTTAGGTAGTTATTGATGTTGGTGTTTTGCATTGCTGGTGTGAATTAGCAACAATTAACATGTGAAAGTTGTCACAAGGCAGATAACACATAGAAACTCAGCACAGAATAATAATGCCGTTAAAATTGAAAACAGAGTTATTAGCAAAAAAACTGGTCTTTTATAATATTATGTGATATTCATCACAGCAGCAAGCCATCCCGTCCAACCAATCTATATTGGTGTTTAAGCTTCTCTTTTTTTTCTTGTCTAATTCATAGCTATCTGTTCTGTTCTCCCACAAATGCTTGTCTTGCTTCCCTTTAAATGTAATGATACTCTTTACTTTAACTAGTCCCTGTGGTAGTGTGTTCCATATTCTCACTGCTCTCTCTTTGTGTAAAGAAGTTTCTTTTGAATTTGTTATTTGGTTTCTTCATTATCTTGTATTGATAGCCTTGAGCTGTGCTTTTCCCCAGAAGAGTTTAAAAAAAACTTCCTACATCCATTCCACCAAAATCTTTCATAATTCTAAATGCTTCTATAAAGTCATTCCTTAAAGTCACTTTATCAAGGAAGGAGCGACTCAGCCTGTTTGTCCTATTCTGAAATATACACCCAGGCATTCCTGGTGCCATCTTTGTAAATATTCTGTAGATCCTCTCCAGTACCTGTTGTTCAAAACTACACACAGCACTCTGTGATCTAACTAAGATTTGATGCTGATCTAAGCATAAATTCCCTATTTCTCAATCCTTTACCTCCAGAAACAAACACTTGTGCTTTATTTGCTTTTATCAGGCCTTGCTAAACTGTGGCACAACATTTAGTGATTTGTGTATTTGTACTTCAAGATTCCTTTACTCTGCTACCTAGAATTGCCTCTTCTGTGGAAGGGTGACTTTTCTTTTCATCCTATCAAAATGTACTACCTTACATTTGTCTATGCTGAACTTCATTTAACAATTAATTAACCATTCTTCAAGTTTATCTATGTCCTCCTGCATATTTTTTTGCAATCCTCCTCGGATTTGGTTATCCCAGCCAATTCGATGTGATCTACAAATTTTAAAAATTGCTTTTTTGATTCCGTTGTTAAAATTGTTATTCTAAATCATGAACAGTCATAGTCCCAGCATCGATTCTTGTGGAAAATCACTTCTGTTCTTCGCCCTCTCTGATTTAACTAACTACACGTAACTCCCATTCACTGCTTTCTGACTTGAAGCCAGTAAAACAGTCCATTCAGCTAATTGTCCCCTGACTCCACATTCTCTGACCTTATTCATTGGTCACAATGTATTGCAGCAACTCACCACAACTTCATTGATAACAGCTTCCAAACCCTGTGATCTCCACCGTCCTAGAAAGAGTGGGGCAGCAGGGAAACCCCACCTGCAATTTCCCTTCCAATTTACACATCATTCTACCTTGGAAATATGTCACCATTCCTTCATTGTGGTTGGGTGAAAATCCTGTCTAACCGAATTGTGAGTGTACCTATACCCCAAGGACTGCAGCAGTTTGATAAGGCAGCTGACCACCTTCATAAGGGCAATTAGGATGGCCTGGCCAGCAATAGTTAAATACTGTCAACAACTTTTATTTTAAAAAAATGTCTATAATGAGGCATTGGCAATAGTGAATCAGCATCCCATTTTATATCATAACTGTTTGTTTGTTTATTTTTTGAGGGGAAAGACGTTCAACTCCTTAGTTTTTTTTCCCCCCAAGATAAATTTCTTTCCCATTGTTCCATGCATAATGTTGCTGACAGGTTGATTGGTTTCTCCCCTTTAGACTACAGGTAAGGTCTAAAACGGTTAAAGTTTCTTGTAGAGCTCTCTCCTGCCCCAGAGATAACCTGAAATCAAAAAGAATGGAAAACGTAACCAAAGGTCCCTTTTAAATTCAAAAGTGTTGAATTCTACAGCAGCTCTGTACTTAGAGAAGAATGCTCAAGGCTCAGGCTGTTGTACATTCTCATATTCAAGTATCCCTTTAATTCTGCTTCTTATCATATATTCTCTGCCATTTTTCATTCTGATCTAAGTTCAAAGATGATGTTTAATTTATCTTTCTTGCCAGGTGCCCTGTTTCAAAAGAGAAATACTTGTAATTGCTATCTAACCCAACATGATTTTGCTTTATGTTTGTGGTCGAAACATACTTAAACTTTGTTTTCCCCCCAAACATGACATACTATTTAATTTTTGAGCTACCTCTACAAAGAATCCAAGAGTCTCTTATTATTTTCATCAACCGTTCAATAAATCCCCCGTCATCTTATTCATTTTTCATGTATGAATACTTTGTCATTTGCAGCCAGAGTGTCCCTGGTATCTTCCATACTCCAACCAGCTTTCACCAGATCACCAAAATGGTCAAAAATGCAGGCCAAAAGGTAAGAAACAGACTAGCCTTGGACTAAAGCATTTTAAATAAACTTGCTTTATTCTTGGGATTAAAGTTTGTATATAAAAACTGAAAGAACTGCGGATGCTGTAAATCAGGAACAAAAACAGAAGTTGCTGGAAAAGCCAAGCAGGCCTGGCAGCATCTGTGAAGAAAAAAATCAGAGTTAATGTTTTGGGTTTGGTGACCCCCACCTGTTCTGAGGAAGGACCACCAGACCCGAAATGTTAACTCTGATTTTTTTCTTCACAGATGCTGCCAGATCTGCTGAGCTTTTCCAGCAAATTCTGTTTTTGTTAAAGTTTGTAAATTCAGTTTCATGGATCAAATAAACTTGTCTGTTTGGCTCAGTATTTTTGTGTACTTTCATTCTGGAGATTCTGTTTTTAAGTTCGACTTTACTGAGTATATCTGCATATATTTATGTTTAACACGAGCTAGCAGACCTGCACTCAAATCCAATTAAAATGCTATTTAGAAATGTATTAAACTGATCCTAAATTTTCTTTTCCTCTCGTTTTAAATTGCAGATATTACCTCAACAAAAAGAAATGCAAAATAGCAACCATGGAATAAAACTGATTTGCTATGAATATTTATCAAATAAATATTCAAACAACACTAGGCCTTTGCTGATTTACTGCCCTGTTGCAGTTGCTGCTGTTTAATATATTTTTGAAGTATGTTCTTTGTTTCCGTTTCTAAAATAAAACATAATAATATGTTAAATATGAAACAAAAGCTTGCCTTTTCAGCTGTGTCAGGAATGAAACGATTTTCATTTGCATGGATTATTTAATGTAGTAAACCATCCCAAAGTTTCCATAGGGGCGTCAGCAACTTCAGTATCCAGTTACAAAGGAAAACCATCAGTGATGAGGAGATTGTCTTCTGAAGCGGCATTGAGCAGTTTAGAAGAATGAGAGGAGATCAGATGCAGTATGTAAGAAGCTAATGGGGTATTGACAACGTAGACAAGGATGTTTCCTCATGGACTAATTTAAAATAGATGAGAGATTACTTCCCTCAAAGGGTCATGAGTCTGTAGAATTTGCTATCCCAGAGTATGGTGGATGTTGGGACATTGAGTAAATTTCAGCAGGAGGTAGACAGGCTTTTGGTTAGCATTAGTTTGAGGCTGAGATGAGATCAGCCATGATTGTCTCAAATGGTGGAGCAGTCTCGATGGGCCGAATTACCTACTTCTCTTAGTTCTTATGTTCTTCAAAATTGGGACAACTGATGTGATGGAAACTGTGTAATATATCTTATCATTTTTAGAATTTGGATCTTTCAAAAAGGCAGGTGGGTTTTAATTAAATCTGTGAAGTTTTTTGGTCGCAAAAATGATCATAGCCAATTTTGGGATAGTAAACGAAATAAATCATTTCCAAGAAGACGTTATGACTTAAACCAACTGCCTAACAGACCTCCTGTGGTATTAATGGGGGAAATATGTTTTATACTGTTAGGTTTATGGTGGGCAGAATAAACCTGTTAGGGCAACTAGTTTAGTCTTAACTTCAGAGCAGAAGATTCAAAGTTTGTTCTGAAGGTAGAACAGTTTCTCTGAGCAGGGGACCTGGCGATGTGGTTTCTTACCAGTGAAATTTGGATAGAAACCTTCAAGTTGTTAGAGCTAAGAAAATTTAGAGTCTCAGAATTGTGGAAGCTTCATACCATGAAACCCAGAAAGCAATCCTAAAATCGTCTCTACATTTAAACTTTAAAAAGAACTGGACAGATAAAGATCAACTAAAGGTTTAAAAGCTGAGTTAGGAGTGACTTTTCTTTGGGATTGAGTCATTATAACAGGTGGTGTTGGGAAACCATTTGAAACTTTGATGTTTGTGTTAAGATCTTCCTAACTGTATTATATATGTATAGCTTTGTCTGCTTTTCTTTTATGTAATAAACTTGTTCTTTTTCTAAAAGAAAATTTGCAGCCTTGTTTGAATATGTTTATGTCTAACCACCGTGTTAACCAACTACAGAAATTAAACACATGATCCATCAAGCCAGATTTCATTTGTGGGTCTGAATTATCTAGTATTTCCATCAGTTGGGATCATAAATGATCAACCATAGAATCAAAATTGTTAGCGCAGGAAGAGGCCATTCATGTTTGTACTGTCTCTGAGTATTCAACTTATCGCCAATCTCTTTCCTTTTTCCCCAGAAATTCTCTCCATTGTTTATATCTTGATAATCATCCAATGCCCTCTTGAATGTCTCACTTGTACCCGCTTCCCCCAAACCACCAGGCAATGCATTCCAGGCTCTAACGTTTACTGTGTGATGAGGATTTTCTCACCTTGCATTTGCTTGCTTTGCAAAACACTTTAAAATTGTGCCTAAATAAAAACTGAAAGAACTGCGGATGCTGTAAATCAGGAACAAAAATGGAAGTTGCTGGAAAAGCTCAGCAGGTCTGGCAGCATCTGTGAAGAAAAATCAGAGTTAACGTTTCGGGTCTGGTGACCCTTCCTCAGAACTCCTGAGGAACACAGATGCTGCTTGACCTGCTGTGCTTTTCCAGAAACTTCGTTTTTTGTTAAAATTGTGCCTGCTGGTTCTCGATCCATTCACAAGTGAGAACAGTTTCTCTTTATCTATACTCAAGATTTTGAAAACTTCAATCCAATCTCTTGGTCTTCTCCTATCCAAGGAAAGCAGTTCCAAATTCTCCAATCTTCCCTCATAACTGAAGTGTTTCATCACTGGAACCATTCTAGTAAACCTGTTCTGCACATTCTCCTTCTTGAGTACGTTCACACGCTATAGGGTTCCATCCAGAAAATTACGCAATACTTCAGCCAAGATAAAAGAGAATTTTTAAAAAAGCATGAGGGGCAATTATTTTATACAAATTGTGGTTCGCGTGCAGAATTGACTTCCCGAGGAAGTGGTGGATGTAGGTACAATTACAATGTTTAAAAGGCATTAAGTACGTGAATAGGAAAGGTTTGGAGGGATATGGGCCAGGAGCAGACAGGTGGAAGTACTTTAGTTTGGGATTATGTTCGGCATGGACTGGTTGGACTGAAGGGTCTGTTTCTGTGCTGTATGACTCACTAACTACCCAAATCTTTGCCTTTTATTGATGAAGTCTAGAATTTTGTATGTTTTATTACCAACTGTCTTTTCCTGTTCTGCCACCTTTTGATGATTTAAACACATTTGCACCCAGGTCTCCTCTGCATACCCTCTAAAATAGTACCCTTCATTTTATGCTATCCCCATTTTGTTTTCTTTGTACCAAAGTGGATCACCTTCCACTTCTTTGCATTGAAATTCATCTGCCATCTATCCTCCCATTCTACCAGCATGTCAATATCCTTTTCAAGTTTTGACATCTTGAGCAAAACCAAAAGGGAGAATTGAACAAACATCATAAAAAGGATCAGCAAAAATTGGAGAAGCAGAGAGAATTCCAGAACTTGCACCACAAACATTTGAAACTGTACAACGGCACAACAATAGAAATTAGAAGTATGTTATAAAATATGGGACTTGGCCAGCATTGTTGTTTTTCTTTTGTGGGTTTAGTTTAGTTAATCTAAGAGGAATTTAGTTCTATCCTCAAGAGCAGCATGGGAGCCCTGAGCTCCATTAACACCCTTAAATTAATGACCACCTAATGGCATCATCCTGCTGCCACCAGTGGAATTCTGGGAACAGTGTGTGGTGTGAGGAGGTCACCCATTAAAAGCTGGTTGGTGTCTTTGCAAGTGTAAGGAGAAATGATAGGGGCAGGCACCCACAGCATGTCATTTTTGAAACATCTTACCAGTGTCATTGTAATTATTCCTCCTGTGACCAGCACAAACAAGAACAACTTTACTGGTCATTTTTCCCACTGCTTGAGGATTTGACTGTGTGGTGACCCTCCTCCATAATAACTGTTCCACAATGTAACTTCATTCTATGTGAAATGCTTTGATACTTTTTTTTGAGGAGCAAAAATATTTATTTACATAACAGGAATAAGGGCAGACTGCTTGCATGTCAAACATTTTACCATTCAGTGAGCTTGTGGCTGATCTAACACCATTTCCAAATACCCAAGTTTACCCCATCTACCTTTTAATACCTTTTGGTTAACAAATATGTATCTATTTTAAATAAAAACCAAAAGAACTGCAGATGCTGTAAATCAGGAATAAAAACAAGGTTGCTGGAAAAGCTCAGCAGGTCTGGCAGCATCTGTGAAGGAAAAAAAGAGTTAACGTTTCAGGTCCAGTGACCCTTCCAGAGTGTATGTATCCATTTTAGTTTGACGATTATTAATCGATCTAGCATCAATTGCCAGTTGCGGGAGAATGTTACAAACTTTTAGCTCTTCATAAAGAAACCAGTTTCTAATTAGACTCCTGAAAGGTCCAGCTCAATGTTTTTGACATGCACCAGTGATTTGATTCATTATTGTCACATACCTAGGTACAGTGAAAAGTGTTGTTTTGCATGCAGTACAGGCAGATCATATCGTACAAAGTGCCTGGGGGTAATACAACAGACTGAGGAATGCGATGTTATGGCTGCAGAGAAGGTGCACAAAGAGCAAGATCAACATTAAATTCAAGATTTGAGAGGTCCATTCAGAAGTCGAATAAGAGTGGGAAAGAAGCTGTTCTTGAATCTGTTAGTTCACGTCTTTAAGCTTTTGCATCTTCTGCCCAATGGAAGAGGTTGGAAGACAGTATAACCGGGGTGGGAGGGGTCCTTGATTATGTTGGCTGCCTTTCTGAAGCAGCAAGAGCTATAGATGAAGTCAACAGATGGAAGGTTGGTTTGCCTGATGAACTGGTCTGTGTTGACAACTCTAGATTTTTACGGCCCTGGGCACAGCAGTTGGCTTAGCAAGCCATGATGGATCCAGATAGAATGCTTGTTTTATATTCCCTAGCTAATTGAACATAACTCCTCCCAACCTACTCTGACTGTACTTTCTAATAATTTGAAAAATGGTATCAAATTACCCCTCTTATCTGTCCAAATTCTGGGGAAAGCAGCTGTAATTTGTTTAATCCCTTTTAGCATAGACTTTAGAATTCAAGTGTCAATCTAGGAAATGTGGCCCTCCGAGGCCAATATATCCTTAAGAGTCAAATACAGCTGGAGAAACTCAGCAGGTCTGTCGGTCTGTGTGGAGAGAAAAAATAGTATTAATGTTTCTAGTCCAATTCAAAGAAGAGTCATTGGACTTGAAACTCTGACAATATATCCCTCCCATGGTGTGAATGCGTAAAACACAAGTAGTTTAATTTATTACTTTAGTAAATTGTATGTCTCAAAGTTGTGTGTGACCAACTAGTCTTGCTGTGATATTAAAATAATGTTGCTGCTATTAAGATAACTTTGTATAAGTTCAGTCTGTTTTGAAGTATGCCTCATCAATGGCACTGGTGAGGTATACAACTATACTTCCAAGGGAACACTCTTGCAATTCCAGTGCTTTTTTTTTGTAATAATACATTCTGAATTTTAAAAAAAATGCAAACAGTTTCTTTTCTTGTCACTTAACATAACGTATCTGAGATGTTAGATGAAGAGATCATAAAGAATATCTGACATGGGACAACAGAAAATTAAAAGGAACTCTTGACATTCTGATTGGATTTGCAGACTAGCTGAAAGTTGTGTTCAAGGGTGAAATTTTAATGTATATTAATTTCAGAAAATAATTTTGGGCCTTGAACATTTTTTTTGCTTTCAATTGCTCTGGAACACTGTTGCTATGGTAATATTTTTGCAACTTATTGTCATTTTGATAAAACACATTTATAAATTTTGGATATGTTTTGTAACATACCGTGACTTTTTTAAAACATTGGGTAAGAGTCAACCTGACAATTTGTGTGCTTATTTAGAAAAGTGTTGTTGCATTTTTATGTATACGTGTTTAACAGAAAACGTTCACATATTTCTCCAGATTCCATTATATTCATTACTGGTAAAGTAGTATGAACAGGGGTTTGAAAAGTGATTGCAGCAGAACACACAAAGCTGAGCGGTGGTTCTGGATATAATTGTGTCTTTATATTGATAATTGTGGAATAGTACAACATTCAAGAGAAAATTCAGTCTGCACCATCTCTTTTGAACAGCAATCTCATTTGTCTAGTCCCTACACTTTTCTTTCGCATTATACAGGAAATAGCAGAACCCTCAGAAGCATTAACATACAGAGGGATCTAGGCGTACAGGTCCACAGTTCCCTGAAAGTGACAACACAAGTGAATAAGATGGTCAAGAATGCGTGTGGCATGTTTGTATTCATCATACAGAATGTAGAGTATAAAAATTGGCAAGTCATGTTGCAGCTGTATAGAACTTTAGTTAGGCCACAGTTGGAATATTTTGTACAGTTCTCATAACTACACTACAAGGAGGATTTGGAGAGGGTACAGAAAAGGTTTACCAGGATGTAGCCTGGTTTGGAGGGTATTAGCTATGAGGAGAGATTGGACAAACTCTTTTTGTTTCCACTTGAGCTTTGGATCGGGAGGAGCGACCTGATAGACGTTTACCAAATTGAGAGCCATGGATACTTGGAGTCTTGTTTTCCCAGGGGTGGAAATGTCAATTACTGGGGGACATAGCTTTTACCTTACAGTTTAAAGGACATGTGAGAGGCAAAGTTATTGCACAGAGGGTGTTAAGTGCCTGGAATCTGCTGACAGAGAAGGTGTTAGAAGCAGATACAGTAGCAATGTTTAAGAGGCATCTTGACAGATACATGAATTTTGACAGGGAATAGAGGGATATGGACTGCATAGAGGCAAAAGGTTTCTAGTTTAGAAAAGGTGTGATGTGTTAATGCAGGCTTGGTAGACAAGAAGGCACAATCTCAGAATATACAGGGGTCACCCATTTAAGACTGAGATGAGGAGGAATTTCTGTTCTCAGAAGGGAGTGAATCAGAGGGCTGTTGAGGCT